ACACTGCATTTTTGTTGTCGCTGCCGACCTTCAGCTTATATGACAACAACGACGACGAAAAATGCACAGCAGCCTGTGTTTGAGCCTCGTGGGTCACAGTAGCACACATTGGCTGTTCTTAGGATACTGCACAGGAAGTCGGGGCGGTCTTCCTGCGGAGGGGAGGCGTGGGGTGCAAAGCAGAAGGCTTCCAGTGTCCAGGTTCCCATAATCCCCACCTTCCTCCGCCGACGTAAACAGTTCTCACGAGCTTAAAATTGCCAAGGTAGGGAAAGCCAACTCCAGCGCCTGAGGCACCGCGCCGGTCAGAGCAGCGCGGGCTGCCGGGCTTTGTGCCTCCTCCCGGTCAGACCGCCAGGCCTTTCCTCTGAGATGGCTCTCAAATAACAACGAAAACCTCACGGCCAATCAAGTCCATTCTGACTCAGAGTGACCCTGTAAGACAGGGTAGAACGTCACCTGTGGGTTTCCAAGACTGTAACACCTGACGGAGCGGATAGCCTAGTGTTTCTCTGGAGGAGCGGCTGATGGTTTCAAACTGCCGACTTAGCAAGTTAGCAGTTTGACGTGTAAACCACTCAGACCTCTACCTTTGGTGAGGCACCAGGCATGTGAACCGTTTGCACCTGGAGCTTCGTGAGGCCCTGTGCTTTCGCAGAGCCCATTTGGGACGATGCCTGGGACCGAGGAGAGTTATCAGCCCTGGCTGCATTAGCTTTTCCCATCATCCAGCATCCCGGGGAGCAAAGGCCAGCTAGCCCTGGTGTTGTAGACACTTCCTTACCGACTCATTTCAGGGCACGAACGAGCCAGCAAACTTTGTCAATGGATCCATCAGCGGCTGCCGGGATGACACACTGAATAGGCCTCCCTATATGCCAGGTAGGTGCCTGTTGCTGCATCCAGTCCACAGCCCTGCCCTCAGGCTGGGACAATGCCACCGCTCCTAGCTGCTGCCCTGCTCCTCGAGCCAGGTCAGTGTCATCGCACCCAGCTCCCTCCCTGCCCCCAATCCTGAAGGCTTCTTCTTCCCATCAAAGTGCAAGCTACTTAGTGGTACAGACCGAAGTCATGCTTGCAAACCTGGGACAAAAATCCGGTAGGTGATCCTGAACAAGGGTCCAGAAATTCATTACATCATTAGAGGGGTAAAGGCTTGATGTGGTATGGGCGGAGCCAAGCAAGGCCCCCCGCCTCTGCCCAGGATCCGTGCATTTCTGGAAGGATACCCCTGGCTGCACCGTGGTGCACACAGAAGCAGGGACTCGGGTGGGCGGCCTCCTCAGTACAGTGCAGACTCAGCAGGACGTGACCCACTGCCCCAGAGCACAGCCTGGTCATTTGCAGAGCGATCTAAAAGCCAAGCACCTTAGCATTTAGATCACGACTTCACGACCTACTGCTGACTCACCCATTGAGTGATTGATTTTCTTCCTCTCCTAACTTAGCATTTCCTGTGTCAGGGGAGGAACAGCGCTTAGAACACTTGAGGTGAATGACTGGAAAAGCCTCATTCCCTTGAGAACCCTGCCATCTAGTGGCAGGGAAAGACGTGACCCCAAGGGACCCCCATGGGGTTGCAACCCAGACTGCGTGATGACGTTGGTGGAAGTGGTGGTTGTATGATGGTGGTGGTG